ACAGTCGTGTTTCTGTGCACGTTTTGAGGCTTGTGAAAACATGCAGCGTGAAAACTCAATCAGCTGTTAGTGTCGTAGTGTTAATCATCCAACACCCAAAAAAACATCAAACCCGCTCAGTCCCTGAACGCATCACGAAGACGGAGCTTTGTTCACATTCCTCAAGATTACTGATTTCAAACGAGCTTCCTCCGTCCAGGCAGAACATCCTCAGCGTTTTTTATTCTTTTTTAAATATCATGACGTGTTTTTGTCCCTTTTCTAAAATCGACAGAATCCTTATATTTTTTTAATCCAAGTTTAAATTTGCTTTTTGTTATATTTTCTCTTCTTTATTGACGACTTTAAGCTTTTTATTTCCTCTAAATATGGTAATCAAGACGAAGAAAGAGGGACAGGACATGTCCTTTAACCTTTTTACGTTCAGAAAACCCTCCGCCTCTGAACACCAAGGGATCGATGACATCCGATACGAGCTACGATAGTTCCACGTCTCTGAAGTGAGAGGGGAGCCGCCCGGAGGAAGTCCGAGTAAAAGCTGACATCGCAGGAATGTGACGATTCTGCAAAACATGCAGAAATCTGCTCCTGGAAGCCTCTAGAAACCAGGTTACCTCCGTATCCCTCCGCCTCTGGGACTAGTTTATCTCTCTGCATCCCCCGAAAACAATAACAAAACAACGAAGATGATGCACGAACAGAAACTCTTCTCTCTGATTGGACAGAACAGCACGGACAAGAAGAAGCAGAAGAAGAAGCGCGTGAAAGTGCGAGCGTTCATCAGGACGTGAGGTGGAGTTTCTACATGGCTGAAAGCTTCAGAGTCTCAGCTGTGATTCATGGAGAGCCACCAGCAGGGCTTTTTGCATAACATGTAAATCATCATCATCATCATCATCATCATCACCATCATCATCATCATCATCATCATCATCATCATCATCGACCCCCTCCCAGTCTGCTTCCAGCTCATAGAGTCCTAAAGTGAACCCGGACATGTTGAAGACCCCAAAGTGTATGACAGAGAGACACAGAAGGTCTCCTGCTGGGACCATGAGGGGGGTTCAGGGACTCTGGCTCGTTGGGAGTGGACACAGAAGAGATAATAACGCTCAGCATGTGAGAAACGGACTCCTCAGTCACCTCCAAAGCACTTGCTCTCTCTCATCTGAGGCTCCTACACCACAGCGACGCTCTGCTGGAGGAGCCTCAGATGGTCTCTGTCGTATCGACGCTGTGCACCAATGACAAGCCTTCTCACTACTGTCCACATGTGATCATTAACGCCACTTATTGAGCTCATAGCCCAACACACTATACACTTCTACCATAAGACTTCAGGGTCCTAAAGTGCCCAGGTTCACG